CGCAGCACTTTGGCGATGCCGTTGCCGAAGTCGTGGCAGGCGCAGCATTCTGTGCATCAGGGTGTGTGTTTGTGTGGCAGGGGTCGCATTCGGCAGCTGTCTAGAGGGACAGGATGTTGTCGCGCGCGCGGCGGGGGGCGTGCGAAATCGTGGCAGGCGCAGCACTTTGGCGATGCCGTTGCGAAATCGTGGCAGGCGCAGCACTTTGGCGATGCCGTTGCCGAAGTCGTGTCAGGCGCAGCATTCTGTGCATCTGGGTGTGTGTTTGTGTGGCAGGGGTCGCATTCGGCAGCTGTCTAGAGGGACAGGATGTTGTCGCGCGCGCGGCGGGGGGTGTGCGAAATCGTGGCAGGCGCAGCACTTTGGCGCTGCCGTTGCGAAATCGTGGCAGGCGCAGCACTTTGGCGATGCCGTTGCCGAAGTCGTGGCAGGCGCAGCATTCTGTGCATCTGGGTGTGTGTTTTTGTGGCAGGGGTCGCATTCGGCAGCTGTCTAGAGGGACAGGATGTTGTCGCGCGCGCGGCGGGGGGCGTGCGAAATCGTGGCAGGCGCAGCACTTTGGCGATGCCGATGCGAAATCGTGGCAGGCGCAGCACTTTGGCGATGCCGTTGCCGAAGTCGTGGCAGGCGCAGCATTCTGTGCATCTGGGTGTGTGTTTGTGTGGCAGGGGTCGCATTCGGCAGCTGTCTAGAGAAACAAGATGTTGTCGCGCGCGCGGCGGGGGGCGTGCGAAATCGTGGCAGGCGCAGCACTTTGGCGATGCCGTTGCGAAATCGTGGCAGGCGCAGCACTTTGGCGATGCCGTTGCCAAAGTCGTGGCAGGCGCAGCATTCTGTGCATCTGGGTGTGTGTTTGTGTGGCAGGGGTCGCATTCGGCAGCTGTCTAGAGGGACAGGATGTTGTCGCGCGCGCGGCGGGGGGCGTGCGAAATCGTAGCAGGCGCAGCACTTTGGCGATGCCGTTGCGAAATCGTGGCAGGCGCAGCACTTTGGCGATGCCGTTGCCGAAGTCGTGGCAGGCGCTGCATTCTGTGCATCTGGGTGCTCTGTAATCGCATCCATACAAGGGGCGCACGGTACATGTGTGTGGACATTTGGGAAAAACATAGCATGTGGGGTTATCCGGTCCTTTAATTTTCTTCTCCTGTTTAGTAGGGGGCTGCAAAAACAAGAGTCAATTTTTGGCTACCATCCGAAGGGTTGTCAAGTGAATCTTCATGAACTTTCCTTCTCCAGACCGTTGGCACACTCGCACCGCGGGATTCTGGAGAGAAAAGAATTGTCCTTGACTAGGTGTGCCTTGGAACCCAGGCTGTCCAGTTCCCTCAGAATTGGACCCAGTTCCGGACTGCTGAAATCAACAAGTTGAAGGGAACCACCACGAGGGCATTTCTCGATGGACGCATGTGACTCGGGATTCCAAGGGTGGAAGTACATACCCCTTGTTCATAACGCTTCCGTACTTCTGCATGGAGGAAGCGTCACTCTTGAGGTGGCGCTTTGAGATGGTTTGAGTACCCGCCCAATTCAATCCCAAAACAAACATTGAACCAGAGGTTCCATGTGTCAAGTAGCCCCTGTTTGGTGCTTTGGATTGGCGGCTTGAGGATTTAAACTCCTGGTAACCATCGAACACCAATCCAAACCAGTGAGAGGGAAGCTGGGTGCATATTTTTGGTACGGATAGTGATAGGGAAGCTGAGTGTATGTGTTTGGGATGGATTTTTGGATGGGCGCAGACTCCCTGCAATTTCTGCCAGGTGCGTCTCGCCCTTGCGGGCTGTGCAGGTGGGTTCCTTGGTGATCGAACCACCGAAACAGTTCCCTCAGACTAACTTTGGTGCATTTTGCCCAGGGATGTTAGGACTCTAACTTTTTGCCAACTAGTTATTTAATGGGTGTTCCGTATGAAACCACGAAAAGTTATTCACTTTTAGCAGTGGAGCAGAAAGCAACCGAGCTAAGATGTCTTGGGTAAATATCTTACTCCCACGAGCACCGGATTTCCTTGTGGGTTTGGACCATTTTAGTGGTAAAGAACAAGTCCGGACTTGTGTGTCAAATCCAGTCAAGAGGTGAGCCGCAACGGAATTGTGTCGTTGGTGTCATTGGGGTTGCAGACCTATCCCTCAGGCAAAAAGTACAACGCATCGAGGCGTCCGAGCAGATGTGTGTGGGTTCAAAACTTGGCTGGCGTTGCTTGTAACGGTGGTGATACTTATTTTGTTGATTTTCCCTTGTTGAATTTAAAGGGAGCTGTTCACTACTGGAAATGGCTTTAATTTTTGCAGGGGGCCTCCGAAAATGGAAAGATAGACCCCGCAAATGCTATTTGCAAGCCCTTT